TTGGTCTATATTCGTTAAAACTATTAAAATAAACATTGTTATCCTTGTTTTAAACCAATTTAATGCTATAAAAAAAATATATATATATCGAATTTTTGAAAAATTTGGTCGGCGGGTAATGCAAAACGAAAAATTAACTTTGCGCGGCCTAACATTCGTCAGCATAACTTAATCCTCTATTTTTAGCATTTTCAATATCTTGCAATATGAGGAGTGAGTTGTTCTCTTGTTTACTTGGTTATCTTTAATTATAGTTTATAATCAGTAAAGGATTTATTAAAATAAGGTTAGCTAAGATTGAAAAAAAAAGTTGATTACATCGCGAGAATAACAATTACCGTTACTATCAGCAGTAATATTTCTAGATGATAAAGAATCGAACAATCTGCTTCTATAAATTGCTTCAGGATTGATTTTGAAGTGAGAAGGTTCCAATGCATCAGATATTAAAAGATTTTCGAAAGTTTCATCAGCCTTCATTATTTGTGCGATTATTTCACTTGATTTATCATTGTTCCACGAATTTATAATATCACATATTTCTTTAGCAGTAGGCCTTTGAACTGGCTGAGCATTCCAACATTTAACAATTAATTCGGAAACTAATTTTGGTACATATTTTGGAATACTTGGACGCAAACCACTATAATAAAATCTTAAGTGCAATTCGATATCATGTTGTATATCATTAAATGCTAGTAAACCTGATACAATTTCATATGCCACGATACCAAAATAATATACATCAGATGCTGTACTATACTCCTTTTTATACAATACCTCTGGTGCTAGATATGGTATTATACCACATACTTCATCATTTAGTCCCATATTAACTAATATTGAAACCCCTAAATCTGCAATATAAGTACTGCGAGAGTTATTTAGCAATACATTTCCAATGCGCAAATCTCGGTGAATAAGATTTTGAGAATGAATTATTTGAAGGTCTGAAGCTATACAATGTAGTAAAGTTAGTTTATCTTGCCACTTCATTTTTGATACATAGTAAAGATTTTAACTTAGAGAACCCCACTTGGCATATTCCATAACGAGCACAAATTTTGCATTCAGAACATGTGCGAAAGAAAAAAAAATCGAAGATACTCAAAAACTAGTGTCTAAATCGACCTTGGTGCACTAGTTAAAATGTGACAATCTATTGTTATAATCTCTATTGTTAACGTCCTAACCACATAGTTTATTTACCAATTTCAATTTTCTTTTTCGGTTTGTGTTCTTTTGCAGTGGAGGTCCCGTATGATCTACATATAACATAAACTGCATTCTTGATATTCTATATAAAAATACTCCTAATTGCATCAAAAATATAATCCTGACCCTATCTAAATTTAACCGAACCTTATTTTTGACAAGAGACGTTTGTCTTGAATTTTCTAGATCGTGTTCCGTTACACAATTTAGAATGACGATTGGTTTGCGCCACACAAATTTCTCGTGAGCGTGAAATTTTTATGCCGATAAACCACATTTTTTGATGCATCTGTACCTACTTTATACATTTAGAAATAAAACAAATTTTTATAATAAATTTTTTTATAACAATAACTTAACAGAAACTTGACCAAATTTGATAAAAATTTTTTAAATAAATTTACAAACTCGTATAATTAATTAATTAGGTTTTTTTTATTTAATTTGATTAAATTTTGTTAAGTTATTCTTATTTAAAGTTTTTAAAAAAACTCATTAAAATTTCATATTTATAGTGCATGTTTCGGTATTTACTATATGTCATGTGATTATTATATGTTATGTTTCTACGACTCCGCCAGGAATTTTGACCAATCGAATCTCAGGATCAGGTGTAACGTAAAAATCGAAACGACCCCTTTTTTTACAAAAAAACAAGAATAACTAAACCACCTTCTGCGGCCTAATTAAAAATGTTCCTCGTGATGTTTTACTAATAGGCATTATATTGTTCTAATCCTAACCCTAATTATAACAGTTTTCTTGGGGGTTTATTTTACGCGTAACTTTTTTACTTAGAAAACAAAACACGTTTGTTTTGACACCTGATCTTAAATTTTGATTGGTCAA